TGTGGAATTCTTGCCTGAAGAAGTGGTTTTATCAGAGTCCATACAGATGTTCAAACAGCTACTAGATGCATACTTGCAAAAACAGAATATTCAAGGATATAATCTTTCAATGTAGGGTAATAACTGCTTGATCTAAGGATAAGACTGCCATTCTGGGGTCAAGAAGGAATTTTTTTCCTAGCTTGTTGCAAAATTGGAAGTGCTTCAAACTGGTTTTTTTGCCTTCTTTTGGATCAACAGCAAAAAACAAAGGTGCGGAAGGATGGACGCAAGTCTCTTTTCAGCTATGTAACTATGTAACATTTGCTACATACCTTTGTCTTATATGCAGCTTTTTTGGGCACTGGAGCTGGAATTGCTTTGTCTTTTTCCATATTTTCAGGATAGACAGGACTAGACATATCTGCAAAACATATTTAAAAAAAGACTACACATTTAAATGTTTCCAAATAAAAACCTTAGCAGAGATTTTAAAGATTGAGACAAAATAAATCTCACCTCTAAAACCTCTGACCCGTGTGGATGGGGGTGGTCTGGTGACACGGGAGATCCATTCTGAGTAGCCTCCATGCTCTCAGTAGGACCTGTTTATAATAAACTTTTATAAATTTGGAGCCAAAATTCGGAAGTTCCGATCTTTCATGCACAGTTTCATGATCGGAACTTCGGTGGAACGCACAACCTCCCAGGCATGCATTCCACCGCCATGCGCACTCGTCCTATCTGAGCAGTGATTTGCTGCCTCTAGGGACCGCCCTTTTGTTCTGCCAGTAGCCACACTTGACATAAAACAAGCAGCTCCTAACTGCTCTGTAATCCTGCAGGTTGAAGCGTGCCTGTTCACCCTGGAGGCTATCAGGCCAGTTCCCCTAGGCATCAGTCCATGTACCTCACCAGTCTTCTCTCCACTCAGATGCTTGTCCATTCCTGTTGGAACAAGAAAAAGAAATGTGGGATCTTGGAAGGTTAGTACTTTATACCTAGTGGTGGAGGATCTTTTTATGTTAATTTCTTTCAGATGCTTATCCCAGGGAAGAGCACTTCCCTACTCTTCTGCCACCATATGTTTGGAAAATCATTTTACATTTCATTAACCTGGAACTAGAAGAAGAAAGAAGAAAGAAGAGGGAGAAGAAGAAAGAAGAACTGAAGAAGAAGTGTGGCATAATCTGGATGTGGTAAGATACTTTAAGATATATTTGGATAAAACTAAGGAATTCAGGAAATCTAATAGCTTATCCATCATTCCTTTTTGTCATCTTAAAAGTACAACAGTCTGTATATCAACTATTAAAAGACAGATTATGTCAAAAGGCTTGGAAGGTGACAGGAAAATCTATTCTATATGGCATCAATGCACACTCTACAAGGGCTGTCTTGGCAACCTGGACTTCTAAAGTCAACATACGCAAAACAGCAACATGGTCCTCATCCAGAACCTTTGTTAAACATTACCACCTTGATATTTCTTCTACATACACATAATCCTTTGGGGAAAGTGTTTAATCTGCAGCTTTGCATAGATAATACATTTATATTTTTGCAGTAATTGCTGTGTTATTGTTTTTGCTTCCCAGCCAATTGTATCTTACACTATCCCGTAGATAATGCTGGCATGGATTAGCCAGGAAAATAGTTTTTCTTTTCTTTTAAACACTTAACATAATTTTCCTTTCCCGGCTATTATGCATGTCAACATTACAGGAACCCATTCTATAATGCAGAGTGCTTGAATACAAGACAGCTGTGTGGAGGGGTGGGAGAAGTGGGGAGGGATACCTTCATACCTCAAATTTCATTTGAATGTTCCTGTCCTTTTTTGTCTGCATGGCACTTCAGAGATCTGGAGTTTGGCCAAATAGCTGATCAGCCCAAATCCAGCCAAACTGAGATTTGGCCAAAGCCAAAAGTCTAATACCCGAAATATTACAAATTAAAGTTACTTAATATTCTCTACATACTGTAGTTATGATTACCATCCAGTCCACCACACAGAAGGGAGGAAAATGGCTATTGTTAGTTAACACACTTCCTAATTAATAAGGATCTTTGAAAACTTCACCTAATTTATTAGAGGGAAGGATGGAATTATTCTTTTTAGGAGTTAAAAATTATAAATTGCACTGATTTAAAGCAAATTCTTTAAAGGTAAGCTGACCATTAGATCTCTCTATCACATATACTTTCATTGGTTTAAAATGTAATGGTTTCTTGTACTCTAGCAGGTGTCATTGAATGGGGAGGGCTATGTATTTCCATCATCTGCAAGTATTCCTGCCAGTATGTGGAATTAAATCCTTGTATTGAAAAACTGAAAAAATGCATGCAATTCAGCTTTGTTATAAAAACCATCTGAAAAGCAGAATTTAGTGAATTATATATTTTACTTGCTGTTCCTGTATTAATGTAAAAATGTTTTTAAGCTCTAGCCAAAACAGAATGAGTTAGCTGCAATATAACTTTGCATCTACATTTTTCAAGCAAGCAGCTTTTATGTTTTCCAATATTCTACTGGTTAAGCTTCCACTAATGAAATGCTGTCATATAATTAACAATGCATCCAAATTAATATTTATAGATTTCTGTAGTTTTCTGAAAGTCATTTTTGCACTTTTCCTTATTATTTTTTACATTTTACTCTCTGCATCCCTTAATTTAACAATAATATTATTACAATTAAATATACAGTAAAATCCAGGCATTGATGATATTTATCAGGGTTGGCAAACAATAGATCCCGAGCTATTGTAGAACTGCAAATCCCATGATGTTTTACCATTCTAAGGCTAGCAAGGCATCATGGTAGTTGTAATTTTATAACATATGAGGATCTACCATTTGCCCAGCCCAAATGTATAACCTACATAGGAAATTAAAAGAAAATGAATATAGGCTTAAATATACAAATATATTTAAATATATGAAATGTATTTTTTCTTAATTTTGATTGATATAATAAATGTATCATTTTACTTTTTGCTATATTTCATAAGAGAGTTTCTCTAGAGACTCCAGAATTTTAAAGGTCAAATGCAAGATAACAGATTAGGTAAAGTCACTAACCAAGGCATCTATGCAAACAAAATACATGTTGGCAACTGCAATGAACAGCTTCTGGTTGGAAGATATAGAGCAATGACTCCATGTTATATCATGCTCAGAAGACATGACCTACTCTCTCTGTTTCCAGAAGACAACATATTAGTCTGTGCTTTGAAGCTACAGGTTTCTGCACTTCAGACCTTTAATAAAATGAAATAAAGAATCTGAGGTATTCCCTCAAATAAAATTCAATGTATGACTATAACAATATTTAATTTATTTTGTATATAGCTTTGGTCATAAGTACTTATTTGATATAAGACAAAATTGCTCATGTGCATTATTATTATTACACTTTGTTTATTGGTGTATTGTATTCCATAGTAACTATATACTGCACTTTTTTATAAAAAGAGGACTATGCTTACTCAAGGTAGTATGTATTATACGCCAAAAAACAGCCTAACAATCAAACATAAAAACGTTTTTGTATATTTCCGTAACAAGCAAGCTACCTTGAAGACTTACTAGCAGATAATCAGAACCAACTCTATTTTCAAATCCTTAACCGTTACAGTATATGATCATATATTGCACAAGCTTGTCAATGTACCTCATTTTTGGCAGGTTGTTAGAGTAGGACCTGCCAAAACTGGGGTTTTGAAGTTGCTGTTTAGTGGATGAGAAAGTGCACTGGGTCTTGCAGAAGATAGATAGATAGATAGATAGATCGATCTACATAATTTAATCTTTATAATGATATAATGGTAAAAAGGGTACTTAGACATACAGTGACAAGATGCATATGTTTTACGTGCGTGTGATGGATCCTCTTTTTGTATGTCGATGACATAAAAAGTTATCTGAGTCTGTGAGATGCTTTGAATCAAAGTAATGCTTCTTTTAGTGGGCATTGACTGGATATGTAAGAATAATTATTTTGATTTTGTTTATTCATTTCATAGCTTAAAAATACAACTATGGGGCCCAGGTTTGTTCACAGTTATATTAATTAAATAAAATATTTATGCTGTTAGAGTAAGACAGTTTTGTTGTTAAATAATTATTAGGGTATTTCATTAATGAGATGCCATAGTGCTATTAATATCAGTTTTCTTGATTTAGAAATTTATTTAGAGAAGACATTATCACGGTAGTTTACCCCAACTCGCAAGATTTAGTCCAACAAATGACAATATAAAGCAGATGCGTCTTACCGGACCTTAGAATGGCCGGACTCGACGTAGAGCAGAGAAATACAGAGTCAGGAATGATCCAAGGTCAAGGGTACAAAGAGACAACGAAAACAAGAACTAACCACGGTCTGGTAATCAGTAAGCCGGCAAACAAGACAAAACATGGATAAAGAGATAAACGGAGTCAGATACAAAGCCAAGGTCAAGTACGAAAAAATCACAACTGAACAAAACAAGCGCTAAAGGGAACTGAAACAGAAACCACGTTAGGGCAGGGAGTTAAGGGAGAGGTAAGTATAAATACCCTAACATTTAATTTGATTGGCCCCTGTCATATCCACGCCCCCAAAATGTGAGTGTATGGGGAATGTGGGATGACAGGGGCCAATGGGAGACCGTTTTAGTTTTCGGCTCCCACTGTCCCTTTAAGAGCGTGCCTGAGACGCGCGGCACACTCTTAGAGCTAGGCGGGACACGTGACCTCTTAGAGCTAGGCGGGACACGTCATCCATGCCCCGAGCGAGCCGCGCGCGGCGGGAATAGAGGACCTCGGCCAGCCCCCGGATAAGGTAAGTACCGCTACAGACATGAAGACAAGGCATCATTTTAAACATAAAATCATATACATACAATGGGTGGAATGATGTAGTTCGGGTTATAAGATGGTAATATACAGGCAAACGGAGTAACTGTGGAGATAAAATAATATACAAGCACCTATAATAATAATATATAATATAAAATGAAAAAAGATAAGAACTTAACACTAAACTGTGATAAGGTAGGTAAGTTCTTTGTAAAGTCTTTACAAAGAACTTACCTACCTTATCACAGTTTAGTGTTAAGTTCTTATCTTTTTTCATTTTATATTTTTACACACTTGTATTTTATTGTTTACTATTAAAAGAAATTTAGTCCCCAATATCCCATTGGTGTGGACATTTCTTTTATAATTAGTGGAAGATCACCTGTATCCTGAAAGGGAGTGGGATCCCTTCAAACTATCCCACAGGCGCTCTGACTGAGCCATTATCTATTGGCTCCTCCTTTGTGAGTACTGGATTATACACCTTATGTTTACAAATATTATATTGTACAATATTGCACTAGGTGCTTGTATATTATTTTATCTCCACAGTTACTCCGTTTGCCTGTAAATTACCATCTTTTAACCCGAACTACATCATTCCACCCATTGTATGTATATGATTTTATGTTATTTGTTGTGTGGATAGAGAGGTTACCACACGGGTGTTTTTTGAGTGATTTGGTATCTATTTGGGTTACACGCTGAAACTCTGTATTTGTATTTCTAATCATTTTAAACATGTTGATGCAAATAAGTATGTTGACTATTATAGTGGGCAATATAAATTAATTGGTTAATTAATATATCTAAGAGGCAGTTTCAGAGAATTCAATAATTCTTTTTTAAAGTGAACATGTCATAACAGATATTGGTTTCCAGTTTTTTAACCACCTGGCTTGACTAATTTTATACAATTGTTTCTTCATTTGGTACTATTAAAAGTTAGTAATTTATTTTCATTACCCGTGTCTCCTGTTGAGAGCATCAATCATGTTTGCAGTGGGTGTTACACTTGCTCTAAGAAACACCTGATGTAATCAATGTCAGGTTTGTAAATACAGTAAGATATTAAAAAGGATTCCCATCCATCATCAACATCATGTTTGATGCACCATTTGACCATTGTTATTTTGGCCACACTAATTTTCCATTATATAAAAATATTAATGAACATATTAATAATATTTTAAGAGGAGTGCATCAGCTCATTTAAAAAATTTCATAATAAGATCCCTAGTGTGTAAATTATTTTAGTTATACAAGCAGTAAGAAAAATAATCAAATTATTACACCAGAAAGAGGAGATGAAGTAGGTGTATACATTATGCACTTTAGAACTGCATAGTCTTAATATTAAGTTTGATTTGTCTAATTTTTTTTATATTAGGACTAAATGAGGATTAGTATGTTTTTCTTTCTCCTTAACTTTTTGTATGGGTTTTATGTACAGTGAGTGTTTTATGTTTATATGTAAGATTATTAATGTGTATAGACTATTTAGATACCATTGCTCCCAGTATTGTCAAAAATCATGGAAAAATGCGTCCACACGTAACTATGTAAATATTATCAACAATCAAATTATATGACCCCTGATCAATCACGCTTTCATCCAAGTCACTCAACTTCGACTGCCCTCTTAAAAGTTTGCAATGACATCCAAATTGGCATGGAACAAGGAGACTTAACTGGAGCTATTTTCCTTGATTTTGCTAAGGCCTTGGACACAGTAGACCATGGCATTCTTTTGCAAAAAATGAAAAACTCTGGTATTGGTGATCGTCCGCTAATCTGGTTTCGATCATAAGTTTTAGACCAATTGCAATATGTGACCATTTCTGATAGCACTTCCCTCCCTCTTCCAGTCATGTGTGGTGTCCCCCAAGGCTCCATACTCAGCCCCCTGCTATTCACATTATTTATAAATTATCTGCCTACCGTCTGCAAATCCTCAACTGTACACATGTATGCAGACGACACTGTAATCTACGCAGGGCTTCCATAAGAAATGTTGGGGCTCCTGACACAGCTCAAGGTCTGGGCCCCCCGGTGCCTGCACCCGAGTCCGCCCAAAGTGCTGCCCCCCCCGAATCCGCCCACAGGGATGCAGTGTCTGCAGGGCCGGTGCAAGGATTTTTGCCACCCTAGGCAAAAGTAAAGTTTGCCGGCCCCCCATGTGACATCACAATGCCCCACCCATATGATCTGCCATGTTAACTAACACCAGTGCTGCAGTGCCGCTGTGTTTACATTAAAAGGCCTGCAGGGACAGGCTAGACACCAGAACCACTACATTAAGCTGTAGTTGTTCTGGGGACTATAGTGTCCCTTTAATGTGAGGTAAATTAGAGATTAGTGCCACGAATAATATACTAGATTGCCTACTTACAACCAGATGAGGATGATGATGGCTCTAGCTGCCGTCTGGCTCCACTGGTCTGGTGTACAACAGGCTCTCTGGAGGCGGTTTGTAACTGTGGTCACAAAAATCACTGTTCTGGGAGAATGGGAAGCAGCTCCATTTTTTTGAGGGCCCTTTACACAGCTCAAGGTCTGGGTCCCAGGGTCCACCTTCATGTTCCACCAATGAGTTTGTTCACAGGGAGTGGAGTGTGTGTGTAGGGGATGTCCTGATGTGTGTAAGGAATGCATTGTGTGAATCTGTGTTTGTATGTGCAAGGTGAGTTTGTGTATGTATGGAATGCAGTGTGTGTGTCTGTAAGGGATGCATTGAGTGTGTGTAAGGGGTGCATTGTGTGTTGCTGTGTGTAAGGGATGCATTGCTTGTGTACATGTGTCTGTGTGTAATGCATTGTGTGTTTTTCTGTGTGCAAGGGGTGCATTGTGTGTGATGAATGTCAGTCTCTCCCCCTCCCCCCCCTCCAATTTCCTTCTTCTCCCTCTCCCTCTCCAATTTCCTTCCTCTCCCCTCCAATTTCCTTCCTCTCCCCCGTCACTCAAATTTCCTTCCTCTCCCCCGTCCCTCAAATTTTCCTCTCCCCCGTCCCTCAAATTTCCTTCCTCTCCCCCATCCCTCAAATTTCCTTCCTCTCCTCCCTCCCTCTCTTCCCTCTCTCCCTCCCTCAAATTCCTCCCTCTCTCCCTCCCTCAAATTTCTTCCCTTCCTCACCTCATATCCTCCCCTCCCATTTCCTCAATTTCATTTCCTTCCTCTCCTCATCCTTCCTCCTCCTCATTTTCTCATTCCTCTCCTATCTTATTCCTCCCTCCCCTCTCTCCGCTCTCCTCTTTTCCTCCTCCTATTATCTTTCCGGCGCGCTTTCGCTGCTTTGCGGAGCCGGAAGATGACGTCATCTTCCGGCTCTGGCATCAGTACGCGGCGTAAAGCGAAGAGGAAGCACACAGAGTGCTCCCTCGTGCACCCGCCCGCCGGGTGTCTGCAGGGCCAGCCTCTGGGGAGCCCTGAGGTGACCGGCTGCTGGGCCCCCCAGGAGAAGAGGCTGGCCCTGTGGGTACATACCGGGTCGCAGGACCCCCTGCGACCCGGTATGTACCCACTGAATGTGGGACCCAGACGACCTGAGCAGTCCGGGCCCCCCAGGACCGCCGGGCCCATGACTAACTACGCTAGTAAACCCAATCTATCGCAGATTGAGGCTGTACTCCAAAACCAATTTACAGAGATAGAAAAGTTGATAGCGGATAACAAACTCTTCCTAAACATTGACAAAACAGTTACAATGATCATTGGAACAGTACCAAAATTACATAAACTACAAAACCAACAACTATGTTTCAAAACAAATTAAAATAGCACACTGACAGCAGTCTGTCTTCTTTTAAATATCTAGGTATGTTGCTGGACCCCAATCTATCCTTTGGCCTTAACATTGAAAAAAATATCTTAAAAACTTTACCCAAAACTAGGTGCCCTGTACAGGAACAAATCCTGCCTAAGTCCTACAGTAAGGCTACAAATGCTAATGCCGGTCATTGATTATGGGGATGTCATTTATACACCTGCATCGCAAACCCACCTTAATAAACTTAATACATTATATAATTCATTCTGCCGCTTTCTACTAGAATGTAATTACTTTACTCACCACTGTAGGTGTCCAGAATCGGCTCGGCATTGCTGGTTCATCAGGATTCCACCTCAGCACAGGTCCAGTCATTGCAGTCAGCCCCTCCGGTGTTTTTCCCATACGGCCCACTGACCCAGAAACTCCTGCTGACCTCCGACCCACCGACAGGCCGACGCGCTGGCGTGCTTCATTGGGCGTCATCACGATTTGCTACTATTCTATTTGCATTTATGTATACTTTGCATTCGTCTATACTTTGTTGTTCGTTTACTTTTGTGGTTTTCAGCCATTCTAACACATTGTTCGGTTGTTTCTATACGAAGGCAGTCGCATGTTTTCAAGCGGTTAAGCGGGCACGAAGGCCCTATGGCGGTATAGGGCTTTTGTGTCCTCAATTGTCATTTGTATACTTTCATTCATTGTAGAACGAATCCCTGCAAAAGCTGAATCTGCCCATATTCACTCCGTTCGCACTTTTATTCTCACAAACGCTTGCCTTAGAACTCTTTTCACAATACTAAATCCTTTGGTTCGTTCGTATACCTTAGATGGATCTTCGGCTTGTGGCCCTCTAGGGTTAATTTCGAGGTACTATATCTGTCATCGTACAGCATAGACAGATTATGGCTTGGGGCCTTCTAGTGTTCAAACCTTAGTATTACATATGTTATAAATATGGTCTTACTGTTTAATTATTACCTGTTAAAACTCACATGTTTGGTACTAGTTATTACAATTGCAGGTGTCTATTATACAAATATTTTGATTGTTTTAGGACTATTGGTTCTTATACATTATTTTAGATCTGTGTTAGTATTTTCTTGTTTATGTTTTATATTATTGTGCTGTCCTTTGTATATGTTACGCAAGGATCAACTGTTCAACTACTCTGTTATGTGAGGTTTTTCATTCTAAAGCAGCATGGGTGTAAGGATTTACCCAAATATGATTGCAGGGTTAGACACCATGGGGCCTGTACATAGGGGGTACCGATGTACTCATAAGGTCTTGCTAACATCCATTTTCTTATGTCTTATCAATTATATTCTATTACAGGTTATCAATTTGATATGTAGCGATGTACGTTTAGGAGGCTCTAATATCTCAATAACTATTATCACAGTATGTATCCTTATAAACAAATGATTAGATCAGGTTATGGACTTGTGATTTGTCTCATGTTTTTATAAGTATATTG